CTCTTTTCACAGTGTTAATATTTGGGACTGGTCACTGTTGAGAGACTTAGAGGGGAATATGCACTGCATAGCAGTGGCCGAAACCTTCAAGCTACTTGCTGGGTCAGCATCCTACTGTATTCTAGTATTCCCTCACCCTTATGAAAAGACTGCACACTTCTGCATGTGTAATTCTGCCTGTTCTTTCTTTCTTTTTTTTTTTTTTTTTTGGAGAAGTTTTTGCTATAGGGCGCGTGCGCTTGCCAGACAGAGACATAGAAACAGAAAGTGAGAAATCATCCCCCAGGGGGGATGGTCATGCCACAATCCCTTCTCCTCCATTCTCCTCTCGGGATCTTGGGCACGCACGCACACGCGCCCGGCGTGAGTTCTAAGCCACCGGGTACAGGATGTGAAACACGGTCGACTATGTGGGAGTCCAGCAACATAGCCATTACACCAACTGCTGGTTCCCTGTTCTTTCTATCTTTACATGGTCTGGTTGGCCCCGAGTTTCTTGAATTTTCTGCCAGTTCCTTTTATATCTACTCGCTAACATGTTTCCTTCCATGTACATAACAGATTGTCTTTCTGATTCTACTTCAGATCAATACTTCCCACTCATCATTCCTCCACATTTTATATGTATCTTTTAAAATATTTTTATAGCCTATAAAAATTCCATTTGTGATACTATCCTGTCTTTATTGCTTTATTGCTCTTTTTCTTCATATTCATTTGGTACTACAATGTACTACCACTAAGAAACATTATTGTAAATCTTCTTACAAAACTAAAGAAATGTATCTAAGCTACTAATCCCTTCTTCTGTATTCTGCTCATCAGGCTCAATTGTTACATGAAGAAGCAATAACTTGAGGCTTCTTTGGAGACTGGTTTGATCTGTCTGTCCCCTATTATTTCCCAGTGTTATTTTCTAATTGTTTTCAACTGAAGTGTAATTTACTTTCAGTAACATCCAACCTTTTTAGTGTACAATTCTGAGTTTTTCCAAATGCATACAGTTATGTAACCACCACTATAACCAAGATATAGAACAGTCGCATGATTTTAGTAAGTTCCCTCATGCTGCCTTGCAGCACTTTCTTTGCTCTATTCGCAGCTTTTAATGGCCATCAGTCCATTTTCTGCCCCTATAATTGTGCCTTTTCTAGAATATAGAATTCCACATTATGTGTAATATGGCTTATTTAACTTAGCACAGTATGTTTGTAATTCATACCATGTGAGTTGTATTGTTAGTTGTTACTTGTATCCATAGTTCATTCCTTTTTATTGCTCAGTAATAAATTGTGTGGCTCTATCTCAGCTGTTTATCTAACTCAAATGCATTTTTTCAAGTTTATTTATTCTTTTCCATGAGAGAAGTACAGAGAGGATAGAGATATGGAGAGACAGGCATCCCCAGTAGGGTCTCCATACTGTGATCCACCCCCAGCCTGAGTCAACCTGGATTGTGGTACACATGTGTGTATGTGCACATGACATGTACAGGGAGGCTTTGGGACATGAACCTGGTACTATCCCATTAGATCTAGTTGCATTTTTGCTGCACCACCGTCAGGCCTCTCTAGTGATTTTTTTTTTTTAAGAGAGATTTTTGCTATAGAGCATGTGTGATCGCTAGAGACAGAAAGTGGCAGAGAGACAGAAAGTCAGAAATCACCCTCAGAGGGATGGCTATGCCACAGTCCCTTCACTTCCATTCTCTGCTTGGTATCTTGGCCATGTACACACATGCGCCCAGCATGAGTTTCAAGTCACCTGATCTGGGACTTGAACTGTGGTCAACCACATGGGAGTCCAGCAATGTAACCATTATGCCATCTGCTGGTCCCCATCTACTCACTCCTAAAGAGTGAAGCTTTATTTTATTTATTTTTAAAATTTTTAAATTTTTTGTCATTTGGCTTCTTGGGCACCAAAAGGCAAATTGTAAAATCTCCTATGTGTTTTCTCTTTTTTGAAGTGTGATGCATTAAAAAAAGAAAAAAATATATATAAATGTTACAGATTTTTTAAATTTTAAAAATGTTGATTTTGTACATCAGAGAGAGAGAGAGAGTGAGAAAGAGGAGAGAGAGAGAGAGGGGAGAGATGGAGAGAGAGAAGACAGATATACTTAACAGGGTCCTCATGCTACCACCTTTCCCACAGCCCTGCAGCTGGCTGGCTCATGAGCACACCTGTAGGCATGCTCGATGTGTTGAGGCAGACCTGGGATGCAAACCTGAAACCTTCCCAGATGGCTTCCAGGATTGTGCAGTGATAAAGCTATGGCCTGCACTACTGTGGTTGAGCCTCTTGTGTATTTTAGGTGGAAGTAAAAACCAAGTTGCAATTGATAGTAACCAGCTCTGTTTTTCTGCACCTGCCCTATTCCTGATGTTTCTCCCCTTTAGCCCATTTTAATCAGTTTTCAGGTAGGAACTCAGATGTCAGCATACCTATCCCAAAGAAGCCTATTCTGGGAATCTTTTCAGATAAAAGATCTCCCGAGTTGCAATTTGCAGGCATGATTGAGATTTGTTACTTAGGGTCATTGCTGCAATTTTAGATGCCTGAAGGGTTTTCCTTTCCCCTAAAGGCTCTCAAATCATGCTCACGTATCCCTGAGGATTTAGAAACAGCTTCCCACTTGTTTCACTCCCCACTCCAGGGCCCAGTTCTCTATGTATGATGTTTGGTTCCTAACAGACGAGAATATGAAATCCTACAGCATTCTTTTTTATTATTATTTTATTATTTTTTATTATTTTCAATGATTTCTTATTGTAATTATTTTCAATGACTGTATATCTTTACAACATAGAAAATGAATTTTCCCAGCATGAATACATCCTACATTCGTCCAAAGATACTACCATACACATTGTCATCAACACCTAAAGCATTGTGACTTGTGTTTGAGGTGGGGCTCCCACAGTTTGGCTGGTTGGTAACCAAAGTACAGTGGTAAGTGGCCAATATGGAGCAGCCTATTTTGCCATCATCTAGACAGAAAAAACATAACCATGGTCAACTAAGCTACCATCCTGTGTGATTCAGAGTTTGAACCATAGAGAGCCCCAGAGTTATTTCCATTTTAATTATTTCCCCTTAGTGCAACACCTTCAGAGTATAAGTACTGGTAAAACATATCAATTTATGAAATATGCTTCATTGGCTCTGTAATGAGATTTTTAAAAAAGGACTGTTTTTATTACATTTAAATTTGAATTTCATCCTTGAATTTAAAGAAGAAATTCTAAAAACTGAGAATAGGTAAATTTATGCAAAATATATTCAACCATTCTTGTAATTAGCATTTTGTTTTATTTAGCATTTTTAAATATAATAATTATGTAGTTCAGCATTTCATTATACTTTGGTTTCAGAATATTATATTTTTCCTCCAAAAATCTTTTAAAAATCTCTTTTCTTTCAAGAAGAAAATACTGTTTCAAAAAAATTCCTTACACAAAAATGGAAATTATCTGATGATAATATATATGTCAATATTTTTGATTGAACCGATATACTGTGTATTCAGGATGGGAAAATTCATTTGGTATGCTTTAATGATACGCAGTGATTGAATGTAAAAAACAATAAAATTTTTAAAAATTCCTTAATTATTTTATTCTTGGTACCACTGCCACAGGGCACCAAACCTTATGTAATGAAAAGAAAAAGACAAAGCTACAACAGGTAGAAGACCTCAGGAATGTACACCTAATTGACACTACATTGCACTAATCAGTAGCTGCTCTTTTTGCAAACTGTGGCTCTGAGGGTCCTGAATAAGAAGAGTTTCCTGTTTAAGCTGCAGTAACTTTTCTGACTATGAATCATCATTCCT